CCCAGTACCAGTGTAATTTTATTTTGAGATATGCATTTAGACTACATATAGATGGCTCCACAAGTGCTTAGCCATCAAGAAGTCAATTAGTGAGTTATGTGATCTCACTTGAGAAAGCATTCTCTTCCTAATGTTATTAATCTTGATGCTATTGTACTAATAACAATACTAATAAGGTAAAAAAAAAAAATGTGTAAAGTCAAGGAAAGGAGTAAACAAGTGAGACCAGTAACACTAGTAATTGACTCCTTGGTAATTAAGTATTTGTAGAACCATGTATGTGTAAACCCAATTAATAAACTAAACTCACAGTAAACATATGAGAGGGGGGAGAGGGGAGAGGGAGAGGGGGAAGGGAGAGGGGAGAGGGAACAGAGGGAGGGAGAGGGAAAGGGAGATGGGAGAGAGGAGGGAGAGAGAGAGAGAGAGAGAGAGAGAGAGAGAGAGAGAGAGAGAGAGAGAGAGAGAGAGAGAGAGAGAGAGAGAGAGAGAGAGAGAGAGAGAGAGAGAGAGAGAGAGAGAGAGAGAGAGAGAGAGAGAGAGAGAGAGGAGAGAGAGAGAGAGAGAGAGAGAGAGAGAGGAGAGAGAGAGAGAGAGAGAGAGAGAGAGAGAGAGAGAGAGAGAGAGAGGGAGAGAGAGAGGGGAGAGAGAGAGGGAGGAGGAGAGAGAGGGAGGAGGAGAGAGAGGGAGGAGGAGAGAGAGGGAGGAGGAGAGAGAGAGAGGAGGAGAGAGAGAGAGGAAGGGAGAAGGAGAAGGAGAGGGAGAGGGAGAGGGAGAGGGAGTGTCCTTCCCTGTACATATGCATATATATGTATGAGCATGAGGGTGTGCCTGCCTTGGTGCAGTAATAACACAGATGGCAGGTATAGGATCCCCAAGTCCTGGCTTTCGTCTGAGTTTATAAAGGCAATCAATTGGGTAACAGTCTCCACCTGTCACATAATAATCTATTTTTATCCCTTACAAGAGATTTCATGAGATAAAACTGATATATACCTATTTACTTATCATAATAAAATATTACTTCTGCAATCTTCATTGGATTCTAAAAGACAATAAACAATGTATTTAACATCAAAATATACTTTAACACATTCAATATGATTACCTAGATGTCTAATGTTCTGCATTAGTTGACATACTTACAAAATTCCATAGTAATATATAAAATAAACTGCAACAATTATCTCTACATCACATTATGCAATCACTAGTCCTAACCAATCAACATTACTTAAAACCTTAAAATAATGTATTACCGTATCAAAATATCATATAATTATCTTTTCCCATTCTAAGCAGAAATAAATAAAAAAGTATTTGATATTGTCTTACCATTTTAGAAATAGCAAGAAAGGTTCTCTGTTCCCTTTGTCACAAAACTAAACTGCCTTCTATCTGACACAAGAAGCTGACTGACTGCTCTTGGTACATAACCCAACATGATGCAACACCTGAAATAACTTATCTTTTTATCTCCTTTTTCTGTGTCTGTAAGTGTACTTCTACTGGGAGTTGCAAGCTATGTTATATATCATAACAACCAAAAAATACATATATAGTATAACCAGACCTACATCTGACCTGACAATCCCACTTTGAATAGTAACAATTTAAACCTTTGTTGATAATTGATTGTACCAGCAACACTGATAACCATTCCTATAATCTTTCTCTTCACATGGTCCTACTGTGAATGCCTATTGCAGATCCATCATTACTGACAAGGTTGCATTTGATATATATATATATATATATATATATATATATATATATATATATATATATATATATATATATATATATATATATATATATATATATATAGATATAGATATAGATATAGATAGATAGATATAGATAGATATAGATAGATATAGATAGATATAGATAGATATAGATAGATATAGATAGATATAGATAGATATAGATAGATATAGATAGATATTCTCTAGACACATTTTTGTTCTTGGAAACCATTTATAGTAACAAAATTTGTGGTCATTAAGAGTGGTATAGTGTCAATTAATTATCACAGCTATCACAGTCTCAGCTTATCAACCCCCACTCACACCCCATTCAGGAAAATAAACATCTACATATGCAAAGTAAGGAGTGAGGAGTTCCCCTGTAATAGACTATTAGCATAAAATACATGTATATTTCCTAGCATAGCAGTTCATTTCCTGGTTATTTACAATTTCCTTGTTATACTCTATGTGGTGTTTCAGTGCATTAATTCTGACATACATAAGTTGTAGGGAATGTGAGCAATCCATTGGAACTAAATTCTGGTATTTGGCCACATGTCTATTTAAATAACGAGCAGCTTCATTCCTAGTTATAGTGTAACAAGAATCATTGCGATTTCAAGCTGTCAACACCTTTTCTATAAAGTCAGTAATGAGAGTTATGGGATGTCAAGCAGCTTCTACACCTTCAGAACACTGGAAAAGCCAAGCAAACCTTCATTACACACATTCTGTCAAAACAGAACTTGGGCAACTACTATTTCAAAATCAAATGTCAAGAGAGGTTTACAAATTGCTAGTGTATTTATGACAGATCCATATTCATAGTAATCTATCCTTACTTTCATATCATGGAAAGAGTAACTGCAATAATTTTTTTTTGTGTTCTCCTGCCACTCTAGCAAATTAATTTCATTTAAGACATTGCGATATATACTTTCTAGAGTGTAAACTTTAATCCAAATTTCCCTTTATGAATCCTGAAAAATGGCTATGATATAGATGAGCAGGTCTATGGTTATTGCAAGTTTGGTTGAGCTGTAATATCTAGTGTGCATGTACGTTGGTTTTTAGTCAGTGCACAGAAACAACAGTGACAATACAATACCCAATAATGGTGAGGGTATGCAGTAACCTAAAGTTATGGTGTTGGTAGTAAAACAACCTTAGAAGGGTAATGCTGCCCCCTAACACCTCATCTAGAATGCAAAATCTTAACTAATGTAACTAGCAAGATATCACTAAAACAAGTCTCAATAATGAGTCCCATTGTTGCATCATGACTCATCTATAAATATCTGTATGTGCTCATTCAGCCCATAGATGTGCATATTAATAGTTTTCACCGACATCTGAAATAGTCTGTGCAGGCAAAGAATAATATCAGAAATTAAGAAAATAGGTTGCAACTAATACTGTGCAGAAAGCAAGTCCAAAGCAATCAGGTGGAGGACAAGGGGCAGAGCTTCTGATTAGGAAATACTGATTTGGTGGGGGACTGGAGGCAAAGCCCCTGTATGGAAAGTTTTTGGGTCATATGGGGATGTTTATGGACTTCCTAGGAGTAATAGAGACTTAGTCTCAGAAGGGTGTGGTCACTTTGTAAACCATTACCGAGATATAGGTGAAACTCGGGAGCACCAACTGACTGTAAGCAGCACTTGCCGCAATCTCTTCCCTTTACTTCTGCTGTTCCCATTTGTGTACCAACTTCAACTTTTAGAATGTCATCATTAAATAGCCCTCCCATAGTGTATCCATACTATAAACATTAACCAAAAAAAGGGATTGGTTAATGTTACCCAGAGTGACGCACAAATACAGAAGGAAATGGACACTGCCATCTTATAGGGCATAAGAAATAGAGTAATAAACAACACAGGTACAGCTGCAGCGGACTCCTATTTACTTTGAAATGAGGAAAATAGCTGCTGCATATCACAGCTCAGAGACAAAGTTCGCAACACCCTCACACAACAAAAGTTCTTAATATAGCTTTTTTTTTTCTAATTTGGCATGAAGTGCTAATAAATGTGGGAGGCGGAGGGGCTTGCCCGTCTAGAGAATAAATGGAAGGTAGGAAAGGTTAGGTTTAGAATTTTTGGTTCGCATGATAGCCTGGTTTTTGGACTGTCTCTGGAGAGTGCATCACTCTCAGTGACAAATACCAGTCCACTCAGAGCTACTGAGCTTCAGTTCTAACTTGCCGTGCATACCAAGGTCAAAGAAAAATTACTGGGGGGAGGGGGGGTATTGTCAGGAGCACAGCCTCCCTGAGGCAGTTCCTGAGGGGCACAAACATTCAAGGCAATATGGATTACTGAATAGTGTGACAAGGAGCTGGGAACTTAATCTCTGGCGAGTGCATCCATGCTGTAAAGAATTACCGACTCTGCTAACTATTTTGGCTACATTTGATTGTCACATAATTATATGAGTCCATTAATACCAAATTCGTTTATGTAAAAATATATCTGTCCTGATCATAAATAAGTGAACACCGAACAGCAGGAACAAGAAGCACCGCCTGGAATAAGAACTCTTGCACTTTCAATGGACTCGTCAAATAACAGCAGATGGCGAATTCAGCATTAACAATTACCTTCCTACGGTGCTTTCGGTATCGCTAACTTAGACCATTTGAAGAAACAAAGAAAAAACGACCCTCTACATTGGCCTATAAATTCGCCGGGACACGAACTTTCTTTGACAAAACCAAAACATGTGGTTCTTTCACCACTACCTCGGAGCCGATATCCTGCCCTCATCGTCACGAAATCCACCACCAAGCACTATTCCCAAGATTCTTACGACACGCAAGACACAAATCCACTCGTCCTTTCGTCATTTTCGTACCATTTTGGGGAGGGTGAAGGAGGGACTGAACCCCGCTCGCGACGCTACAACAACACGAGAGAGCCGCCACTGACATCTGTCGGCGGATCCTCGAACTAGCCCACTTTTGCCAAGTCCGAGGTGTAGTGAAACCATGTATTTTCGTGTTGCTGCTTTGTGTTTTGAAGGTTTTTTAATTTTTTCTTGGTTTTATATTGTCTCTTTATTTTTCTTTGTTATTTATGATGTATTTGGTGCCGTTTAATGTTCGGTTACAAAGATCTTTTTAGGTTTATTTCACGTTGGTAATACACATCAAGGATAACGACCTAAACCTATATGGAACCTTTTAGAAAAGAAACCTATCTGACACAAACAAGTTTATCAAAATATTCAACCAAAAAATAATAAGATGCAATCAAATTAACATCCACACTCATCCACCGAGATCAACCGCAACGTCCCCAACAAAAACAACTACCCTCGTACCCCTGTGCAGACGAAGCGAGAGGCACGTGGGAAAAGGAAACTCTCCAGTGTTTACGGTTAGTTTTTGGTCTAGTTCTTCGTCTTATAACATTTTTTCTGTTGTTGTTGAGGTTTGATGGAGTACATTTCATTGTATTGTACATATGAGTTGTTAAATGTAGTGTTTTTGGTATCACACGGCGGTGAAATATGTAGGAAAATAGAACGGTATGGGTCCAGTTCCCATCCAGTTCCGTCTTTATATAGAAAATAATATAGGCAAACGATAGAGCAAATAAATCTAAGAAACTTGTATGCTCTGAAATTCCATCGCAAATCAGAAAGAACTAAGTATGTATGTAGTCTGGCAAAGTGTGATTTATTCTAATTAACGTAAAATTTTTAACTTAGTGTCTTAGTGATGGAAGTTGTTCAAATCGCCAATATTTATTCAATTTAGTTTTTTTATCGAATGAAAGTTTGTTGATACAGTGACTTTACTTAGGCAATTTTGTGTTGTCTACTTACTGGATATAATAAATTTTGTCTAAGGAAACCGTGTTGATAGATATTGACCCACATAGCTGAGAAAGGCCAGAGATATGCCAGGGAGGGTTGAGTTTATTGCATTTCAATCAATATACAATAGACCTCGTTTGATTTGGTATTTGTTACCGAGAGCAACACACTCTCCACAGATTAAGTCCCAAAATCAGGGTATCGTGTGAACCCCAAGTCCAAAGCCAACCTTTTGTACCTTCTATTTGTTTCCTAGACATGGAGGGCAACCCCTTTATTAGCACTTCATGCCAACACAGAAAGCGCATTATTAAGGTTGTTGTGGGCTTGGGCTTTGAGCGGTGATATGCTGTTCATGCTCTCATCATTTCGCTGTAAATATGATGATTCTGTTATTGTTTATTTCTTATTCTTTATAAGATGGCAATGTTCATTTCCCTTTATCTCTGCACATCACTCTCAGTAATATTAACCTTTGATTTTATTAATAGAAAGATCTGAAAACCATTCATTAGAATCCTTTTACTAATTGTTGCAATTGTTGGATATCAGAAAATTTATGCAGAAACTCAAGACTGAGTACACAAGGAGGTATATGTCAACTAGCTCTTTTCAACAGAAATTATTATGAGAATCACTAGATTCATAGCAAAAACATTTTATAAACCATATCAAATCCAAGAGGGATGCTGATTAAAAATCTTTTGGATGGGTATTATGTCAAGTGCTTCACTTCAGACGCCATTTATGGAGAGCTGGATCCGCAGTTCCAATATCTTGTACCTGCCTGCCAATAACCGTTGAGCTGTCTCACACCACAGCCAGTCATCATTGAGCTGTCTTGCATCACATCCAATCGGCAGCAATCAGGACTCCATTGTCACCCTGGTAGTAGCGAACCTCCACGGAAAAGGTGTCTGAAGTATCTCTGAATGTGAGAGAGGGTTACATAAGACCCAGCAAGATATTAATTAAAGATTATTATCCTGACAGTGTCATATCAACTTGGAGTATTGCCCTATATTATTGTCGGTTTATTATTTCAAAGCTACAAGTGAGAGCTGGAAATACTTTTACATAATCTGTCTCTCTCTCTCTCTCTCTCTCTCTCTCTCTCTCTCTCTCTCTCTCTCTCTCTCTCTCTCTCTCTCTCTCTCTCTCTCTCTCTCTCTCTCTCTCTCTCTCTCTCTCTCTCTCTCTCTCTCTCCTTCTCACTCTCTCACTCTCCTTCTCACTCTCTCACTCTCACTCTCCCTCTCACTCTCTCACTCTCTCCTTCTCACTCTCTCACTCTCCTTCTCACTCTCTCACTCTCTCACTCTCTCACTCTCTCACTCTCCTTCTCACTCTCTCACTCTCCTTCTCACTCTCTCACTCTCCTTCTCACTCTCCTTCTCACTCTCTCACTCTCCTTCTCACTCTCCTTCTCACTCTCTCACTCTCCTTCTCACTCTCTCACTCTCTCACTCTCACTCTCCTTCTCACTCTCTCACTCTCCTTCACACTCTCTCACTCTCCTTCACACTCTCTCACTCTCCTTCTCACTCTCTCACTCTCTCACTCTCCTTCTCACTCTCCCACTCTCTCTCTCTCTCCTTCTCACTCTCTCACTCTCACTCTCCTTCTCACTCTCTCACTCTCCTTCACACTCTCCTTCACACTCTCTCACTCTCCTTCACACTCTCTCACTCTCCTTCTCACTCTCTCACTCTCTCACTCTCCTTCTCACTCTCTCACTCTCCTTCTCACTCTCCCACTCTCTCTCTCTCTCCTTCTCACTCTCTCACTCTCTCACTCTCACTCTCCTTCTCACTCTCTCACTCTCCTTCACACTCTCTCACTCTCCTTCACACTCTCTCACTCTCCTTCTCACTCTCTCCTCCTCACTCACTCTCCATCTCACTCTCTCACTCTCCTTCTCACTCTCTCTCTCTCTCTCTCACTCTCTCATTCTCTTTCTCACTCTCCCTCTCCTCACTCTCACTCTCTCACTCTCCTTCTCACTCTCTCACTCTCTCACTCTCCTTCTCACTCTCTCACTCTCTCACTCTCCTTCTCACTCTTTCCCTCTCTCACTCTCTCCCTCCCCCACCCTCCCACACCATTTCTAAAGTCACATTTGTCTCCCTCGACTTTCAGATACCTTTTGCCTATCAATAATGGCTAGAAGTTCCAAAGGCAAGGCAGCCAAGAGAGTCAAGAAGGGCAGAATTCCACGTTATGCACCAAAGCTTGAAAAACAGTTGCTATCAATTGTCAAAAAAGCTGAGGAGAACAACGCACTCCCAAAAGTTGTCGGAAGAATTCCAAAAGGTGGGTAGCATTTTTTAATGTGTGATGGTAGGCATATTGTTGTGCACATGCGTGCTCTGGTTAGGTAGAAATCTTTTACACATTTTTGTTATTCCTTCAAACTGAAATTTATAAACTTTTATTTTATTTCCAACACAAATCTCATCATTCTTCCATAATATTTCAGTTGAACTCATTGAGCCAAAGGAGGAGAAGGATGCAGAGAAGGTGGAAACCATGGACACAAACCAGCCAGAGAGTGAAATCAAGGTGAAAGAGGAAGTAATGAGTGACGCTGGAAGCATCATGGGCGTCGACAAGGGACAGAAGGCCGGTTTCAAGAAGCATTTCACAGTCAGGCAGATGAGAAAGAGGAACATAAACAAAAACAAAGCTAAGAGGCTGAAGGTTGTGCACAATGCCACAAAATGTTTGGTGTATGTGTGCAAAAAGCAGAAAAGGTGAAATGTATCTTCTCTATTCTGGGTTTACACATTCATACAACATATGTTTCATGAAGCTAGGCGTTTGTCATATTCATATTCTTAGAATAAAATCATTTAATATATCTTTTGTATCGTTTACCTTAAAAACTAGAATTATAGTTATACGTTCCTATTAACAAAAGTAAATATTTTTTTTACGTCAAACAGTGCTAATGCCAACCCATAATAAATTTTGTATTTGTTGGTGTATTTTGTGTTTTTGTTTTCTCAAGTTTATCTGGTTTCAAGTTTATCTGATTTATCTGGTTTCACTTCCATCCCCCCCCCCCATAATATTTGGAATTGATCAAAGATGCCATTCAGGGAATAAAAAAAAACATGCAAATTATTTATGACATGTGAATTTGGTAATATCCCAAACCTAATTTGCACATTTGGTTCCCTCTTCACTTAATGTTTTACTGTTACAGTTTCTCACAATTTTAGTTGTATTAGCTGCTTTACAAGAATACTCAATTGCTAGAATTTTAAGTTGATTTTAAGTATGTGGAAGAAGATAAGGAAGAACAAATATCTTTTGCATTCATTTGCCAGATAAATGTAAAAAGAAGTATATTCTCAAAATTTATGACATTTAATGTATTGAAAATTGCTCATGTTACACCAGTTGGAAAAAAAGGTTGATTTTAAATTCATTCTTTCGATTTCCTGCTCATCAAAATAAAAATGAGTGATATATGATATATGTACTTATTTAAGTGATAATGAGAATTTTACTTTATTTTTTTTAATCGTCTGTCCTGGATCTTGTCACAAAATTTTATGGATGATACCTGAAGGATAGTTTAGTACAACAGGTTCTGTGAAGGCCTTGCTTATGGCCTAACCTTCAGCTATAGAACTGACCCATAAAAATCCTTAATGGAACAGAAATATTTATAGGGTCTAGTCCCATACACAGGAGTTTTTCCACTACTGATTGCCAGAACTATGTTGTGACTGATCATCTCTGTGTCTGTACAATTGCAGTCTTGACCCCCCCCCCCCATTCCTTGCTCATTGTTGTAAGTAGGGGGAGGGCCTCAGGAGATGGAGACAGAGGCCCAATTTAGGAGATCACTCCTACCTTATACCTCCATGTAAGCGCCATTTCATGCGCTTAGATTATTTGCGTTAACTCGAGGTGACTGATACCACTGCGTCATACTCACTTCTCAATTTATTTGAATGTGGTCAAACCTGTAATCAATACATAATCAATACAATATCAATCATGCAATAATAATCATAATTGTTGTTACAATTTGACTTAGATTCACTAACAAGATCATATCAGTAGTTATAATACATACATACATTTTACTGTTTGCTGAGAATGTCATTATACCCTACTGCTTTAGGTAAGCAACAACATACACTGACACTAATGTATATCTATACATGAATGTGTATGATACATACGCATAGCGGGAACAGTCAAGGCCTTTAACAGAAGTCCACAGATCGGTCCTTATGTACGTGTTGTCGAGCCAGTATTCACTCTCAAATTGTTCTATAACCTGTGATGGCCCCCCTTTCGTGAGACGCCCTTCCTTCATTTATACGTCAACACTAGGGACAAGGCCTAATTCAGCACATAGAAACACATGGAGGAACACAGCCATGGCATTATCCTTATCGCAACCCATGAAGAAACCGTCAACCAAGTCCTAGAGGGGATGATGTACGCGTGATGCTGAAGCCAGCAGCTACGCCATGCCGATGCTGATGGCAGTGGCTACAGATGTTATACACATGATGCTGATGCCAGCGGGTACGCCATGCCGATGTTGATAACAGCGGCTACACTCCACCCTCACCTCATCTTATGTTGCATGGTCTTTCTTCTCCTTTCCTTCATCCCCTTTTTATCCACTTCTCATCAACTCATTTTTACCCTTTTCACCACAATACTTTATTATAATGCTATATGACCTTTGATGTCTGGCAAATTTATTTGTTTTGACTAGTAACCATGCTGGAAACCTACAAACATTGCCTTATGAACAAAAATACTACCTTACTAAGCCCCACCCTATTGCTATATTTTGTATACAATGCTAATGACCTTAGATGATGTAAATAATTATTCCAAGATTTTCCTATACAGTCTGGTTAAAAATTTTCCTGAATCTCTCCATACCTTCACAGATGTGCAGTCTGGACCAGTTATCTTTGTAGGTGTCCCCATTTCTTCTTTGCTAATCCAGCGCACTTCGTTACTTTACATTATCTAATCATCTTTCATTTTTCACCATTCACCAGCTTCTCAAAATACTTAAAATCTTCCTTCTTAACCCACTTCTCACTTGTCAACATTGTCATCTGCATCTTTCATTAGCCTAATCTTGTTGCACATCCTTCTCCTGTGTGGTCAATCAGTATATTTCCGTTTCTCATTATTGTATTTTCCTAACCTTCTTTTCACTTCGCGCCAGAGGCAGGGCTGACGGGCATTACTGACAGGGCCAAACTTCACTGCTGGAGGGCAGAAGGGACACTATTACTGGAGTCTGCATAATCCATCCCTCACACATGCAGATATACGCACACACTCAAATGCAGAGAGAGAGAAAGAGAGAGAGAGAGAGAGAGAGAGAGAGAGAGAGAGAGAGAGAGAGAGAGAGAGAGAGAGAGAGAGAGAGAGAGAGAGAGAGAGAGAGAGGAAAACACCAAAAGGAAAGTGACACTCTAAACATTGCCTTTGAGAACTTTCACATGCTAGGAAATTTCCAGAGCGATTATTGAAGTACTATGAATTAATTTCTATATACATCTAGCATCAATTTTCTCTAGTATCTAGTAGTATCTTCGAGCAGGTAGGTAGTTTCCTGTGGCTTTCCTTCCCGCATTACCCTATCTAGATGGCTCCATGCGTCTAGCACATAACTGGATCTTCTGGCTGGCCCATTGTTGCTGGGGGGGGGGGGGGGGAGCTTAAGAGATGGAGACTGGGACCCTATAGTGTATTATATCGGTATTATATGCCTGCGTGGCGCCCACAGGGATGACACGTGGCGCCCACACTAAGCGGCATGCCCCAACGGATGGGCGGTCCTCCTTGCCCCCTCCAAGCCAGCGTCTTGGATACTTAAGGCTGCATTTTGACCCGGTCAAGGCAGAGTGTGACCGGCGCGGTCAAGGTCACAACAGCCCGCTGGGCCGGTCGGCCGTTGAGGTGGGCTAGCCGGTGACCCCAAGTGACCAGCCCATAACTCAAGACTTGTCATCCTTGTGTTTATTCACTGTGTGCTGAACTTTTATCAATAAAAGATTTAAGCCACTAAGCTTTTATTACTCCCTGTCACCAATGTTTAGAGGTCCTTATATAACCCTTACAGACCCAATGCTGGGGGATCATCCCTGCCTTGGGCCTCAGCCCTCGACTCAACTAATTTTGCACGTTATTTTCCCTCCCCCTCTTCTCCAACCCCTATCATTTCCCCTCCCAACATACTCTAGGCTTACCATGGCCAATAATGTAGACTTGCTATTATTATCAGGTGCAATAAGGCTTGCCCTTTCATCAAATAGCTCCACTGATTCAAATTCTCCCGGTTCCCCAACTCTAGGCTCTCCTTTGACCACGACTCTGAACACTGCTACTAATGCCCCTCCCCCCCTTAATGCCTGCCATCACATCATCCACCCAGGCCAATACCCAACCTCCAGAGACATTCCTCTTCTCAAAACCTCTACTTCATCAACTACCCCATCCTCGTTTATTACTACTCTACAAGCTTATTATACACCTCTCCGCAATACTACATCTATCAGCACTACTCCCTCTTCCACACGTCCCCGTCCTTCTACTACTACCTCTATAAACATCTTAAAAGTTTTATTTAGCCCAGCCAAATGGGACCGATTTTTCGTGATCGCCCCATAATTTCTTATTCTGCCAACACTCTCCTCGTCCAGTAATGTCTCCAAATCAAGTAGGCAAACTTTTCTTCATCAGTCGCCCCGATCATTCCCGCCTTGTCACAGTTACATCCGAAACTCAAGCTAAAGCATTATCAACCCTGATAGATTTCACTTGCAAATCCATTCCTGCAGAACCTCATTTCACCCTCAATACTTGTACCAGAACTGTTTCCATCTCCTCAACAAACTGCCCTGTCTATGACAAAAATTGGTCAGATTGTGGAGAAAACTTACTCGCCTGCCTCATGGACTATGATGCAGTATCATCGTTGTAAGTCTCCCACCAATATTGCTAAAGATTACTTTTCGTAGACATGATCTCCCCTTCAATGTTTACATTGGCGGAGAATCCCTCCCTGTCCGACAGTATCAATCTCCCCCAGTCATTGTCTGAATTAGCGTCTAGGCCATCCTGCTAAACACTGACGTTGCACAGCCAGATGCATTTTGTGTGCCCAACCCGGTCTTAATTGATCATACTCCTGCACAGTCACACACGTGTCAATTGTGGCGGCTCCCGTAATGTATTTTATAGGGGCTGAAGTCGCAACTCGCAATTTTGAGTCTGAAGTCGCAACTCTCAGATTCTTGGCCTCATTCCACGTGAAACCAGACAGGAAGCACGTCGACTAAATTTCTCTCCCAATCCCAACTCCAGCAATCGCTCTACCCCTCCCCTTTCCCCAAAAAGTGTTTCTACATCTCCCCCAGCATCTCCTCATCACCCTACCCCTACCCCCTTCCATCTCGCAGTCAAATTCTTTTGCCATTCTAGATCCAGACACCCCAATCTCCTCCATTATTCCAGACTCTCCAATCACTACCTAAACGCTTCATCCTGTTTTTTCTACCGCATCCTCCCCATCAACCTCTCCCTCCACCCCTCAGACATCTATCCTCTCTTCTCCCCGCGCTCCATCAGAAAAAAAAAACTTTGTTTCTCAGGCCTCCCCAACCGACTCCACTGCAGAAACTCTCGAAGACATTCTAAACTATCAAATCATGACCCAAGATAACTTGCCTACAATTCAACAATCATCCTTCTACACTCGGAGTAACTGCCGACATCCATCATTCTCCTACTCATGTTCCCCCTACACCCCTTCTTCCTACTCCCTCCTAGAACATCCCATTCCCCTGCTTCAGCCGCATCACCCCCCCCCCCCCTCCTTCTTGGCATTCTCACTGAGTTTTGCAAAATCCTACACATTTTCCTTTATCAACTGTGATCAAATCGCTTTCCCTACCTTCCTCAACTGCTATACGACTTCTGACGTATAGCACTCTTAATTATTAACTAACCCATTTACCCTTTTCTCCATTACACCCCTTTGTAGTGCTATATGACCTTTGATGTCTGGCACAAATATTTTGCTTTGTAACCATTAACCATTCTGGGCTGGCCACTACTCGCAGGTCGTTTTTCATTCTCACGTCCCTTGAGACGCAAAACACCCTTCTGTCAGTGTTGTGGATGTACTTTAATGAAAAAAACTACTAGTATATGCATTTTTTATGGATCATTCATTAAAGCATAGACAGACAGATAGTCTAGCAGAAAGAGAGGTGGAAGGGGCGAATGTAATTTCTAAAATGTATATTATGTTAGGGTAGGGCATTGAGGAATGGATACGAAAACGGGATCTTATTCGGGTTTTTATTATTATTATTATTATTATTATTATTATTATTATTAACGAAGTATATGGGCAACGTTTATGAAAAGACAGGAACAAGGGTTGGGTAGCTAATTGGAGGATGAAGGGAAATGGAGGAGACATGTGTTGCTTTCCATTTTTATTCACGCCTGTTACGAAATGTCCTGAATGATTTATACGGTATTGAAGATCTAGAAAATCTCACATGAGTTAGCACAAGAAGACGAGGTTTTGAGAAAGGGAAAGTTTTTAGTCAAGCCGATTATTGTTGCGTGTGCGTGTGTGCACGCGCGCGACAGAGAGAGAGAGAGAGAGAGAGGAAGTTGCGGATGTCACGTGTCAGCTGTTTCAGTAATCCAAATATAAACAAACCAAAGCTGTTGCACGTAAACAAGTGTAAGTTTATTGTTTATAGTAATATTTCTGAGGATTGAACAGAGTCAGAAATGGCATTAGAACGTTGAATTGGCGGCGAAAAGTAGAAATTGCAGGCCAATACAAAGCCACTGCCATGTATCCAACACATTTATCCTTAATTAACTCATAATGATTTAATTCGTCACCTCAAAAATTCTATCGTGGTTTCATTTATATTTTCGATATACATTAAATTCTTTCTTCATGTTAACATCATTAAGTACATGAATATTAATGATAATACCACAATATAAGGTCTTTATTTCCTTTCATTTCTGGTTAATGAAGCTTAATCTCTTTCCATTTATTACATTTAAAGGAAAATGTAATGACACCACAATAATCAAAGAGAAAATACACTCCCAAATATATGAAATAATCTGCGTCGGCTAAAAATGTTAAAACATTAAGGAAATAGGTTGCAACACATGCCATGTAGGCCGCTACTCCACAACTGGGTGAGAGTTCGGGAGCAGACCCCAAGCAGGGAAATACGGTGATCGGATGGGTGTCTTGGGGTGAAGTCCTTGGGTTAGGGAGGATTTGGGTTCATACAGCGATGTCTTTGGATTTAGCAGGAATGGCAGGAGTAAAAAGGGCTTAGTCTCAGAGGGGTAAAGACACTTCGTAAACATTACCAATACTTTTATTTATATGATTTGCGATGGAAAATAATAAGAGATTCATGTATATTACAGCGTGGATAATTGAAAGAAGGAATAAAAACTGGAAGGTTGGAGGTCTGTGTGATAGTTATAAACTTATCAAATATTTACAAAGCACTCAGATGCCTTGCAATGGCCTCAGCTCCACACCTTTGGGACTCTGGCAAAGGGCAGATAATGGTTGCACAACCTGGGAAGAAAAGGCTTGTAAACCATTGAGCTTCTGTGTCATCTAGGAATGACGGCATTTCTATACAAATAAAAATGCTCGGATAGCAAATAAAGAAACTAGGGTAGATATTATTATCATCGTGATCATTAATATTTTTTATATGATCATTTTTACTATTATTATTATCATTATTATTATTATCATCCTTATTGCTATAGTTGTTATTATTTTTGTTGTAAATATTCTTATCATTATTATTATTGCCATTATCATTTTTATGATAATTGTTATTGTTATTGTTAATAGTATTAGTGGTAATAGTGTATGTAGTAACATTATTATTACTAATATTATTAATATAACATCATCATCATCATCATCATCATCAATAATCATCATTAATAATCATCCACCGCCACCACCATTTATAGTCCATTCTGATTTAATAATAATATTATATATATATAAATCTAAATATAAATATATGTATATATATATTTGCGTGTGTAGATAGATAGATAGATAGATAGATAGATAGATAGATAGATAGATAGATAGATAGATAGATAGATAGATAGATAGATAGATAGATATAAATAAATAAATATATATAGATTTTTTTTTTTTTTTTTTTTCTTTTTTTTTTTTTTTTTTTTTTTTTTTTAGCCAGACCCTTTCAGTATCAAAACCCTAGCAAAGCAAGAAGACACATCTAAACCGCACATGCTCCACAGGTTGTTAATGTGATGCATAGTGTCGGCATACAAGCTGATCTGGAAGAAATTCGAGGTCCTGGCCCTTATTTATTCATCTGTGTTATCAAGAATGAAGATGCAGGCACACAGTGTTATCTGCCTTGCACAGTGGATGCTGCAACCTCAATGCATGATGTTGAAGAGGAATCTTACAGTGCGAGAAGTAAGTTGAGTATGTGTGTAACTTTGGCATTTTCATGTGATTTGGTTGTAATCAGGAATGAGAATAGATAAGATATGAAAAAAGTAATGGTGACTTATCAAGGATACTATATTTGCAAATAGATGGGAATGCAGTATGCATATCTGCTAATTATTACCAATGCATACATTTCTGTTCTCTCATACAAACTCAGTCATTCATTCACGCACACGCACGCGCACATACACTCACACTCACACTCACACTCACACACACACACTCTCTCTCTCTCTCTCTCTCTCACTCACATTGCCTCTTTGCCTTTCCCCCTTTCTCTAAATATGTACACCTACTCAAGTTTCAGAGTCAGAATTCAGTGCAAAGGAGGCAGCACACCAGCGCCTGCCCAGGAAGAGAGGACGTCCCAGAAAGCAGGGGAAACTCACACCAGATAGCAATTTCATGAATGACAACACCAGTGGAGACTTAATAGGTAGTTGTTTTAGTTTTGAATAATGATCAAAGAGGATGCTAATTTTTTTATCAGATTTTATTTAGGAAACTGCCAGCAGTATATCATAATAAAAAAGTATTGATAGTTTTAATTTTAAAAGCAAGTGAGCATTCCATATTGTTATGCTTGTATGTTATATTTGCAGTTATTTATTTGGTTATTTACTTATTGAACTGGTCTGTTTTCAGGGAAGCTTGGAGTTCTCTCTGCAGCACGAAGTAGAAGGGAAAGAAAAGTGCCTGTAAAGTTTGACCCAAGTGACATCACTCTAACCAGAGTTACCAGTCGTCCTGTGAGTCACTCAAATGCTGCCCTTGGGTCTGATGAGAGAGCAGAGGAAGATGAAACTATCCCTCTGCCCACTGCAGACTGGAAGCTGGAGGACGCAGAAGAGGAAGAAAGAGGTATGAGTGATAACCATGAAGAGAGAAGTTCATCAGTGGACATTAGTCATCCACCTCAGCACAACACAGAGAGAAAGACTGTAAATCAGGCTGCTGCAGGTGATAGGTTGATGGTTATAGATGATGATGAAAGTGAAGAAGAAACGATGGGATTTGCAGCCAGTGAAATGGGCAGGAAGTCAAGAGGGGATGGCTGCAGAGGGAGCAGAGGACGGCTCAAAAAAAGAAAGGGTCCATATAGATGTGATCACTGCAAACTGAATTTTAAGTTGTATTCCATTTTTACCAAACACATGCAGAGTCATAAGTCCTCTTTAGGCAGCCATTCCTTTCCATGTAAATTATGTGGGAAACTGTTGTCATCAAATGTAAATCTTAAACGCCATATGATGATTCACAGTGGGAAGCCTTTCACTTGCAAGGAGTGTGGGAAAAGTTATACTGGACGTTATCTTCTCAGAGAACACTTAATTGTAGAACATGGTAAAACAATACCAGAATCACAAACTACATCAGAGTTTCAATGTGAAGCTTGTATGAGGTACATGTCTAGCAAGATGACATTAGAATACCACCAGGCAGTACCACAGTCTTGTCCACATTGTGAGGCAACTTGGCCTTGCAAAAGGAGTTTACGTGATCATATTCTGAAAATACACGATGAAGCAAAGGTCACAAAAGAAGGCTGTTTGATGTGCGAACTGTGCAATAAGACCTTTATGTATAGAAATCGTTACCTGAACCACATAGCACAACACAGTTCTGAAAAGAAATTTGAGTGTCAAAAGTGTAATAAGTCCTTTTCCACTTACCATGCTCTTTATTGCCATAATAAACAAGTTCATGAAAAGCACAATTATCGTCATCCATGTTCAATGTGTGATAAGGTGTTTATATGTAAGGCAAAGCTGGTAGAGCACATAAGAACTCACACCGGGGAAAAGCCATTTGTGTGTAGTGAATGTAATGTTTCTTTTGCGGCCAAAGCAACCTTCAAGACACACATGAAGTTGATTCATGGCAGCAAGTCCCCTAGTCAGAAATTAGGCAAAAAGACTCCCGAAACAAACATAGAATACATATACAGCTGCCCACTTTGTCATGTAAATATAAAATCAGATCAGCTGGAAACCCATTTTTCAAGTGTCCACATGGCTACCGTGCAGTTCTCTAACAGTTTGCCTCCTGATCTTCCAGACCAAGTTATTACAGGTGTAGACAAAACAAAGGGTATTGTTCTTCTCCAAGATGAACCACATTCTCCTGCAGTGGAAGGGAGCAAAGAAATTATTCTCTCAGAAGGCAGCTCGGAAATCATTGTGCTGGAAGGAACATCACAGATTCCAGCAAAGGACGACTGCTCAGGGGTTGAGGTTACAATTTAGGAGAATGTAACTTAGATGTTTTATTTCAATTGCAATATCTGTGATATTATGAAAGGGAAATAAATTTTTATATTTGTTGTCTTAACTTGTTTAACCTTTGTAGGATTACACTCTATCTAGTAATAATTTAGCATTTATTATAAAAAAAATTACCAATATGTTATTAAGAATACATTTCACATTAAAATTCACATATGTTTGTGTAATACATAGTACAATTTTCTTAAAAGCTATAATGGTCTATCTAAGAATATATCGGTTTAAATAAGCTGTGATATCTGGATCCTATGTAAATATGAACAAAGCAAATCCAGCATCAGAAGAAAAGTGAACATGAACAAAGCGAATCACTAAGATCACTGACCATCCCACTCCAATCCCTGCTGTTGGGGAGGAGGTGATCTTGAACCTCAGCCCTCACCACGGTTAATTTTGCTTAGTCTTTTTTTCTCTCCCTTTCCTTTTCCTTCTCTTCTTTATCCCCTTCTGTCCACTTATCCTTATAGTTAACTCATTTTTACCCTTCTTATGCTTCATCATAATGCTATATGACCTTCGATGTCTAGAACATTTATTCATTCTAACCATTTACCATTAACCACTATGTGGATATCAGAAGGGTAGTTCCTTCTTCCTGATTTCATCGCCAGCATTAACTATTACAATTCTATCAAAATTTTCACATGTTTCAGATCCACTTTAATACATCTTTCGTTCAGGATATGCTTCTCTTTTTAACTTCATGTGTTTCTATAAATGCAATCCTTTCTTATTTTGCACGCTGTCTACACCTCAGTTTTGCATATCTCAAATACTAGCCGATAGTGCTCTTGTTTGTTGTCCCAGCAAATTACTGTAAATAACCTCAACACACTTTTAATGATCACATCTTTGTTTTATCCCTCCCGTCAATTTTCTTTAAACTCCTCTATTCTCCCATCACTGTGAGCATTTTCCTTATAAGTTCTCCATTTTATGACGTCGCTCTTTCATTCCAACCTGCATTTCACCACTTTGCTTTGGCCTCAGTTAACTCTTGCGGATCCCACATAAACGGATTACTGACAACTTGGTGAAAGTATAAAAAACAAGTTAAATGATGATACTACTATTGTTGATTTTTATTACTTTACTTGTAACTTTCCACTTCCACCTGAATAAAGCGTCATTGCAACAGAATTGTATGCGATCCTCTTCGCATCAGAACGCATATCTTCCTTCCCTTCCTCATCCTTCATAATTTTCCAAAAACTCATTATCTCATAAGTCTCTACTTGCGGGTCTGAGGAACAACCATTGCCTTACATCTCCTTTTAAGGGCTTGTCCAAAAAATGCCTCACTATCTCCACTCGGCAATAACACTAATTTCTTCCTGGGCTACCAACCACGGCTTTTCCATCTTTTTTTTTTCGTTCATGTACAGGCTCCCAACCTCCACTCTTCCTATATGATGCTCCCATCCAATGCCGACAGTCAGGCAAGCTCCTTGGGGTCATTTTTGATTCCAAACTGTCTTGGCGAGATCATATCCTCTCTGTTAAAGAAAAGCCCGCCGTCTACTCCGACTCTTACAAACCCTCAATTACATATCCTCGGGTTCAGACCGCAAAACACTCCTCCATTTCCATATTACCCTAATCCTGTCCACCCTTGCTTATGGTTCTCTATATATAGATGTATACATAATCCTCCTGCCTCCGCCTCCTTTCTCACTCAACCTGATACAATCCACTATTGCGGTCTCCGTTTATCCCTAGGTTCCTTTCGATCCTCTCCAGTTGAGAGCCTATACAGTGAATTAGGCCTACCACTTCTTTCTCGACGTCGCGCTCCATTGTCTTTAAGAAGCTATGCTCGTTTCCGTCAATTTTCTATCCCTAAACTAACTGTCCCTCATTCTCTTCCTCGTACCTTCTCCTCTCCACGTTTACCTACCTCTTTCCCTGTTCGTATGGACGCTATGCTCTTCCATTCACCCATTTTTCATCTCCGATCTTTTCCTCTTTCTGCCCAAACTTTCCCTTCTTGGCTGATACCTTCCTCCTGTATTACTCTTCTATTTTCCTTGACCCACCCAGATCAATCATCCCACCTTCTATCCTCCACACACATTTTCTTGCACATATCTCTAGTTATTCCTCCAGTACCATGCCTATTCAGGCGGCTCCAAATCCACCTCGGGTACTGGTTTCGCTGCAGTCTTTCCCTTTTCTTTTTCTTTTCTTCCAGAATCGAGCGTCCTTACAACAGAACTATATGCTATCCTCTTCGCTTTACAACGCATGTCTTCCATCTTTTCTTCATCCTTCACCATCTTAACTGACTCACGCCACTCATTATCACTCATATAATCCATACACCCATCAACCCTATAGTCCGTAAAATACAGGATCAGTTGTTTTATCTGTCTACACGACAGAAAACAAATTTTGCTGGATGCTCAGTCATGTTGGGATCCCAGCCACCGACTGCCGCCCTCACTTCATAACTTTCCTCTATAATCGTTGGCAATCTTTCTGGTCAGGTCTGACCACCAATAAACTACAAACCATAAAACCTCGCATCTCTCCTTGGTCGGCACCATACCACCAGAACAGACACTGGGAAACTGCCCTTGCCCGTTTACTAATGGGTCACACCCGGTATGTCATGCTCCAACACCTCTGTGATCCTCATGCAATGTTCCTCTCTCAGTCCCGCATATCCTACTATCCTGCCCTCGCTTAGCTGAAGCTCGTACTCTCGTTTTTTTCCTTACTTGTCCTCTCTTCCCCGACCCCACAACCTGTCATTTGACAACACATTCTCCTTCCTCAGACGCATAAATTCCCTCCATTTCATCTAATCACCCTTTACCCTAAACTTTTCCCCTTCTATTAATCCCTATCCTACCCCATTTACTTCCTCTCTTTCCACCCCTCAACTACCATACTATAATACCATGGACGTTGAAATTCAATACATTTTGTTCTAATAAAGTACTCCTTTAAACCCTCTTTACCATAATACTTTACCATTGTGCTATATGACCTTTGCTGTCTAGTATATTTATTTGTTTAAAGCATTAACCATTATAAATCTCTACAGGCAATCAACCCACTTATCCGCAAGATTCAGGATCAACTATTCCATCTAACAATACAACACAAAACTGTCAGTTTTTGCTGGACACCCAGCCACACTGGGATCCCCGGCAATGAACGGGCAGATACACTAGCTCACTCCGCCGCCTGGTCTGCAGCCCATCAACCAAGATTTTCACATACAGCCTCTGACTACTATCCTCACTTCATAATCTTCTCCCGCTGTCAGTCTTTCTGGTCTAGCCTTACCAATAATAAACTACATAACATGAAACCTTCCATCTTCTCTTGCTTAATACCATCCCATAAGAATACACGCTGGGAAGTTGCATTTACCCGCTTACGCACTAAGCACACTCGCCTCACACATTCCTATCTCATGTCACGATCTGATTCACCTCTTTGCTTCTCGTGCAATGTTCCTCTTTCAGTCCCACGCATCCTACTATCCTGTCCCCCGCTTTACATCAACCCTGCTTTTCCTCACTTATTCTCACTTCCCCAACCCCTTAACCTATTGGACATCCTCTCTCCTTAAACAACTTATTTTCCTTCCTCAGAGGCATAAATATCCTCCATTTGATTGAATTGTCTCACCCCTTAACTCCTTCCCCTTCTAATAACCTGTACCACATACTATACCCAATTAGTTCACCCTCTCTACCCTTTCACTACGATATTACTTTCTAGTATTGTTTAACTTGTAAACTTTACCCTAATCATTAACTCATTTATAAACCTTTTAGCTACTATACTTAACCATATTACCTTGATGTCTAGCACATTAATTTGTTTTAATTATCAACCATTAACGCTTGATTGAATATACACAAGTGTTAAATAGATATATATCTAATAATCTCTTGCCAATTTCGTTTTTTCTGATCACCTGTAAGTAGAGCCTCATCCTTCTCAGCATATCGTTAACTTGTTCCCTGATGTAATACCCAGTAATGTGTGAAATATTGTATTACAAAATTAACTGGCATTTACCAGCCTCTTGCTCCCAATACAAATTTATTTTCATCATACTTTCTGTATTTTCATCTCCAGTTCTGTGAGTAGATTTACACTAAAGCATCCTTGCTAATATCCTGCTTTTCTTATTGTCCTTTCCATAGATTTACAAATTTAATCCAACGTCATTTCTTAATTTACAAACATAACTTTTAGGTATGTGTCGCGCGCACGCGTGTGTGTTTGCGTACGTTCTTACTTACGTGTGTGTGTTTACTTTAGTGTTTAGAAAAGGTTTTGATTCAAAAAGCCAATGAGAATTTCAATAACAAGTCCCCATTAAACGCAAAGGATTCAAAGCCTCTGTGATCCTTTTTTAAACGAGAAAGCTAAAAAGGGTGAGAGTAAGAAGAGAGGGCAAACGCCATACATGACTCAGATGTTTATATAAAAAAAAAGAAAAAAAGAAGAAAAAAACGAAAAAAAAGAAAGAAAGAAAGAAAGAAGAAGAAAAAATATATATATATATATTGATTATATATATATATATATATATATATATATATATATATATATATGTATATATATATATATATATATATATATATATATATATATATATATATATATATATATATATATATATATATATATATATTGATCAACGGCGATAATTATATAAAAAAGAAGAAATCTGTGAACACTTGCGATATGAAACATATCTTGCGTTTACGAAGTGCAACAAACCGAACATGTCTTACAGTCCAAGTGTTATGCCGTCGCCCGGTCTTCAAAATCTGCGCGCGTTCCGTTTAAAAAAGTTTCTCCGAGGTTAGTCTTTAACGGTTCAATCTACGTTCCCCAGAGGAGAAATTTCGGAGGAGTTGAAAATGATTGATTGTGATTATTGTGTCTAAGTCGTCTATCAATATAGAATTCGCACTGATGTCTGAATCATTATAGTTTAAAGCTATGTGGTAAAAGGCCTGTGACAAAGAATGATTAGATGCAAAATATTTTCATTATAATACTCTCG